TTTTCCATCATGACAATGCCCCTGCTGACACAGCCCTGTCTGTACGACAATTCTTGACCAAAAATGGTATGACCCCTGTTCCTCACCCTCCATACTCACCCGACCTTGCCCCGTGCGACTTTTTTTTTTGTTTCCCAGAATGGAAAGAGACATGAAAGGAAAGTGTTTTGCTGATGTTGCTGAGGTGAAGGAAAAAACGACGGAGGCGCTGTCAAGCATCTCAAAAGATGAATTTAGACAATGTTTTGAAAAATGGAATAAAAGACTAGACAAGTGTATTAGTGTAAGTGGAGAGTACTTTGAGGGGGATTGAAGCTTTGTGCTTAAAATTTGAATAAATAAGTTTAAAAAAAAATAAGTTCGGTTTCTTTTGGGTACCCCCTCGTATTTGCAGCAATCTGCTGCATCTACACTGGTTCTATATTAAACTAGTAATTTAGCTGCTGACACAAACTTTATAGATTTCTGGTACTTCCGAACTATGTGCGCAGGTGTATGTTTGTTCTGGCTTCTGCACTGACTTCACACTACCTTAGTAACCTGACCATTATGTAACTTACAGGTTTCTGGTATCTCAAAATTATGTGCACATGTGTTTCTGTTCTGATCTATTTTATTTACATTGGCTCCATAATTTATCAGTAACCTGGTTGCTGTTACATACCTTATGGGTTTCTGGTAACTCACAATTATGTGCAAAGGCGTGTTTCTGTTCTGATCCATTGCATTTACATTGGCTCCACACTGAATTAGTAACTTGGCTGTTGATGAACATGGAAACCTACAATAAGAGATGCAGTGTTACAAACTTACTTACTTATTCATTGAGCTGAGCCCTTCTTGGGAAGTTGCCACTTGTGCAGCAACTCAAGAACTTCCCAGCATTTTATTGAACCGGCAGGTTCATTTCTATGTTCACAAGAGCCCTCCACTGGTCCCTATCTTGAGCTAGATCAATCCAATTCATACCATCCCATCCTATCTCTCTAAGATCCATTTTAATATTGTACACCAACCTACATCTTGGCCTTCCCAGTGGTCTCTTTCCTTCTGGCTTTCCCACCAATATCCTATATGCATTTCTCTTCTCCCCATTCATATTACATGCCTTGCCCATCTCATCCCTCTTGACTTGATTGAAAGCTTGGGCTATAGGAAAGTTTGTGCTCGTTGGGTCCCGCGGTTATTGACCGAAGACCACAAAAGTCAGGGAAAAGCCATCACCTCAGAACTGCTGCAGAGATATGGACATGAAGGCGATGATTTTTTTTGCTCTGTATTGTAACAGGTGACAAAAGCTGGTTTCACCATTTCGAGCCTGAAACGAAACGGTAGAGCATGGAATGGCACCATTTGCATTCTCCATCATAAAAGAAGGCAAAGGCTGTGCCACCAGCTGCGAAGGTGACGGGCCCAGTCTTCTAGGATGCAGAGGGGTTTATTCTGGCCGAATTCCTGGAACCTGGGTAAACCGTCAATGCTGCTCGTTATGTCCAGGTGCTGCACAAGCTCCACTGTGCATTGCGCGATAAATGTCCAGGATGAAATATCATCATCCTGCATGACAACGCCCATCCCCATGCCATTCGCCTCACATTGGAAGTAATTGCAAGATGGGGTGGGAAATTCTTCCACACCCCTCCTACAGCCATGATCTGGCACCCTCCAACTACCATCTTTTCGGATTTGTGAAGGATCAGCTGCGTGGACATTTTGAGACAAGGAAGGCAATTCAGAAAGCAGTGCATCAGTGTCTTTGGATGGCTGAAATGGAATTTTACAGAACGGGAATTTTAAAACTCCCAGAACGCTGGGAGAAATGTGTACAAAGAAGTGGCGATTATGAGAAAAATTAAAGAAAGGTCTGTAGATTGAGGTGGTGTATTTCGTTTGTCAATAATAGAGCATGTTACTTTACAAAAAATTGTTGCTCACAACTTTCAGTACGACCCTCATATTTGGCTTCAACACAACAAATAAAAATGAACCCACTGAACTGCTCACATTGGTTTTAAGGAGGGGTGGAACTTTAATAGTGGCAACACTGCTGTAGAGACGCCATGCAACCGAACCAAATAATGTCGCTTATACCACGCATTAGTTACATACCTACCTTACCTCAGAGCAAATGGACTCCCCCATCCCACATCACGCGCATGCGCAGTGACAAGAAGAACAGAGCCTCATGTTAGCTGGCGGTCTAATGTAGTGTTGTCACGATGTTTTCGAAACAGGAACAACGGAGTTGGATAAATATTGAATGTGCCAGAGGCCGTACAGCACGACAGTGTCATCAAGGCCTTCAAGAGGCTTGCGGGGAATCTGCATTGCCTTACAGAACAGTGGCAAGGTGGGTAAAAGCCTTCAATGAGGGACGCCAAAATGTGGCAGACATGCGTCGGCCAGGTCGTCCTAGTGTCAGTGAAGAAGAATTGTATGCTCTTTCCGTGTTACAGGAGAGTGGTCAAAGCCATACGATTTGTGAGCTGGCCCGAGAGACAGGATTAGCGCATACGACTGTGCTTCACATTCTGAAGGAATGCCTGGGCATGAGAAAAACTGCATCATGATGGGTTCCGCATGATTTGACGGAAATGCAGAAATGGCTACGATACGACGCTGCTAGTAACCACTTTGAGGGCTATAAGCGCAAAGGAGAGGCTTTCTTACGCCGTATCTTTACGCTGGATGAGACATGTGCCAAATCGTACAAGCCACAAATGAAACGCCAATCGAACGAATGGCGTCATTGCGGGTCGCCACGAAAATCAAAAGTTTGTCAGAACCCCAGCAATGTGAAAGTTGTGATGGTTCTCGTGTACGACTGTGATGGTGTTATCCTAACGCATACCGTTTCCCGATAGCAGACCGTCAATGCACAGTATTACTGTTCATTTTTGGAACACAATCTGCGACCAGCTTTGAGAAAGAAGCGGCGACACTTTCTGCAGAACCCACCCATCATTTTGCAGGACAATGCTCGGCCACATGCAGCGCAAGCTGTGGCTGATTTGTTCGATCGATAGGGCTGGAAAGTGCTGTACCATCCGCCATACTCCCCGGACTTAAGCCCTTGTGACTTCGACTTGAATCCTAAAATGAAGGAACCACTTCGTGGCATTCAGAACTGTTCCAGAGATTCTTCAGGCAGTAGACCGCTCCATTCGAACTATCAACACAATAGATGCTGCTAAAGGTATCCTATGACTTCCACATCTCTGGCAACGTGTTGTACACAATGCTGGTGACCACGCTAATGGACACTAAAACTTCGAAACATGCATCTATTTTGTATCAGTTGTAAATAAATAGTTGCCACTATTAAAGTTCCAACCTTTGTACTTAATGGTTACTACATGTATCGGTTCACATATGGGACCATATTTAGGCAGTCCATTTTGTAACCAGGAACATATACATCACAAATACTTACACAGAAGGAATACTCGTACACAGTACACCCTAAAGAAAAAAGCAAAATCATGTTGACATACAAGGGAGATAAAACTAAAAAATTAACAGCATTATCACAAATAGCTTCCATAAGCAGAGAATAGCTAACCCCTGGGTGAAGGACAAGGTACAGTGTGGGGAAACATAAAAATATAGACTTTTACACATTCAGCGACGAGAGAATTTTAAACAATTTTAAATTTTAATTTTAATTTCTGAACAATTTTAAACGTAGAAAAATTCGGGCACCTTTCTGATGGTTGCATCCATTATATGATTGTGATGAGTAGTACTAATATGAATCCATACTTGGCCAGCTCAATATCCTGAGACATATTTAATGAGACTTCCTGAGGGCGGTCCCATATGTGGACCGAAACATGTAGCAACTAGGGGGACAAAGTTGCTCATGTCCATGACATTCTTTAAGTCATACATGTCCCCTGGGTAGTGCAAAATGAGCAACAAACCTAGCAAAGCTTCCCGAAAGAAAAAGTCAAAGAAGAAGTATAAAAATGTTCTTTTATGAGCAAAACAAACTGATACCAAGTGCAAACTTCTCCAATGGAATGCTGGAGGATTATCAATATCAACATTTACAGAAATTAAACGCATCATGAAAGAGAATTTTAATTGTGAACGAGGCAAATATAACTGCTGAAAATATCAACTACTACAATATACCAGACTATATCATACATGCACTATATAAAAGTACACTAGTAGCAAGCAGAATACTTCTAGCTGTAAGAAACAACTTAATGTCAAAATTTAGAATAATTAAAGAAATGAATGACAAAGATACAGCAGAAATTGTAGAACTGAAGTCATGGAAAAACAACAAACTTATTGTATATGGGGTATACAGCCCACCAAAAAACAAACATTTAGATCTAAATAAAATAAACATAACATCAAGAACAGTTCTAATAGGAGATTTTAATGCAGGGTCACCAACATGGGGTTACAGTTATACAAATGATGCTGGGAAAGTGGTGGAAGATTTTATAAATACCAACAACATTGATTTGATTTTTAACCTAAACGATGTACCAACATTTTTACACTACACTGGAGCAACCACGAATCCCAATTTAGCAATAGTAGCCTCACAAATAATACACCAGACCATACGAGAAATAATAGAAAATCCAGGATCTGAACACAGAGCAGTAGTACTGACAATAAATATTGGAAGACATCAGAATGAACAAACACATAAAGTATCTTGGAATTTCCAAAAAGCAAAATGGGAGCAATTAAAAAATGATATTGACAAAAACATTAAAAAAATTAACCAAGAAGATAAACCAGAAATGATGCTGAAAGAATTCTGCAACATCATACAAGAAGCAGCAAAACAATACATTCCCAGAGGAAGGCAAGTCAAATATAAATACTTTTGAAACCCAAAACTACAATCATTAAAAAATTTGAGAGACTTGGCAAGACAAAAATCAGAAAGGTCACAAAAACAAGAAGATATTGTACATTGGAGAAAAACAGCAGCAAAATTACACCTAAATATAAACAAAGCTAAAAAGAATTCATTTAACTCATTTCTACAAAACTTAATTTACAGAACAGACCCAACTAAAATTTATAAGTTTATGAATACACTTAACAACAGGTTTCCACCTAGAACTGAACAACCAATAAAGCTTATGGGAAAAGAAATATCAGATGGGAAAAAGATAGCAAAAAAATTTAACACACACTATGCAACCCAATATACACTTAATAAAGAAAATAAAAGAATAAACTATACAAAGGAAAGATCAAGGATACAAGCAGTGAGAAGAATTATTCAAAGGACGATGAAATATTTACCAAAGATTTTACTCTTGAAGAATTAAAAGAAGCAACAAGAAACCTTAAAAACAAAAAACAGCCTGGTCCAGATAACATATTCCTTGAATTTCTAAACATCTTGGAAGCAAATCATTATAAAAACTCCTTCGAATACACAATACCATTTGGAACTGTCCAAAAATCTCCCACCAAATTGGACAAAAGCTATAATCATTCCCATCCTAAAACCCAACAAAAACAAAGAAGAAATATCATCATACAGACCAATCGCTTTAACTTCAATGTTAGCCAAAGTACTGGAATGAATGATTACAACTAGACTAACTTGGCACCTAGAAAAACAAAAATTAAACGCAAAAGAACAAGCTGTATTCAGACTAAATCGATCCACAGCACACTAAACATCCTATGTTACACAAGAAATTAAAAGCTCCTTTAACAAAAAATGAGAGTGTTTTAGCTGTCTTTGTGGATCTAAAGGGTGTGTATGATACAATATGGAGAACTAAATTAATA